AACCATTCTTTGGAATCAACTTCCAGCAGCAGTATTTCTGAACCGATACGACAACATAACCTTCAAGAAACAAGCATATTCCTTTTTAAAAGGGTGACCATGGACGGCAGTAATCACTTACCATCAGGTGAGCCGCATGCTCGTTTGTCCCGTGTTGTAAAAAAAAAGCAGGAGTAGGTTCGCCTTCGACACACAGAAAGACACAACACAAAATTGGGGGAAGGATAGTTAGCACAATGGAGTTTGGCAGCCCCATTGCTAGCAATATACCCTATTAGGTCGACCTCCACGTGGTTCCACCTGGAAACCATCGTGAACAATTCTAGCTGAATTCGTTACGATGGGCTAACTAACCTGCTTCATCCACACCTATCATCCTACACTGGTGCCCCGCCGGTGTATACCAATAGCGCGGATGGGTTACCATTCCATTATCATCCACTAAAAAGAACACAACAGGGGTATTTTTTAATGGATGAAAATGGAATGGTAACTCCGCGTGCGCTATCGGTATACGCTGGCGGGGTACCAGTAACGGATAATAAATGAAGATGAAGCAGGTTAGTTGACCCGTCGTGATGAATTCATAAAAAAATTAACCACGATGGTCTCCAGGGGGAACCGCGTGGAGGTCGACCTGTTAGCAATGGCCTTATAAGCCTTAATAACTTAATAACGACTAATATAATAAAAAAATATATTATGATTTACGAGTAAGTACATTATATTTTTTATGTACATAGAATACTAATAATAATAATAATAAAATACTCTAAAGTTACCACCCAATATTTACCATCAATTATAGAAAGCCGTAATCCTAAATACATGCCGAATTTTTAGGAAATTTCTACAAATTGGACTAGAAGTTCCTGATACATCTACAGGTTAACATAATATTACAAACAGATTACCAGACAAATTACATTTATACAAAAAACATAGCACACAGTTATGCACTTGGCTTAGGCCCGTGTACACCTGTAAAACCGGTTTTAAGCAGAGATATCGTAAATTTAAAATATAATAATAATAAAAAGATTTGTTGCACATAAAATTGTTTATGTATTTAAAGTTTATATATTAGTTAATAAGTTTTGTAAGTAGAAGTGGACCCAAGACTTGATGACACAGGGAATCCTAGTGTGAAGTTTGGAAACAAATGTATAGTTGGTTTGGTCATTTGGAGAGGACGGATGAAAGAAGAATTACGAAAGAGATTTATCGAGCAAGAATGAATGGAGATGTCGGTAGGGGCCGACCTAGACGGACGTATATCGACCAAATAGGCGACGTGCTGAAGAAGGGCCAAATTAAAAGTACCCGTAACCGACGAGCGTGTATGACAAGATTGATGAATGTGGAAGAAGCGAAAGAGGTTTGTTTGAATCGAAGCATTTGGCGTTCCATTGTTTCTGCCTACCCTAATGGGAGACAGGCGTGACAGATATGTATGTATAATTATGTATAATATGTATAATAATGTATGTATGTATAATAATGTATGTATGTATAATAATGTATGTATGTAAAATTGAAATATGTATTTTTGGATTTAATAAATATTATTATTATAAGATTTCATATACGTATGACATTTATTGATACTCGGTATCAAACGGAATTTATGACTGTGTGTGACAAATACTATTGGAATGTCACAGTGTAAGTAAATAGCGGTACAACAACGTGATTCACACTTTTCAACCGACCTCAAAAAAAGGAGGTTCACTATTCGTTTGTATTTTTTTTTTATTTTTGTTACCTTATAACTCCGTCAAGTTATAAACTGATTCTGAAAATTCTTCTTTTTTTTATCTCAAAGGATATATTTACAGATTGGTCACATAAGAATGTTAACAAAATCGATTCAATTGGTTTTTTTTTTTTTTGGATGAATGATGATCGAATCTATCTGTTCTTCTTTAACCAAAGGTCGTTTGTAAGAGATTGCCCTAGCGATAACACCGCCTTTTGTACCTTTATGTGTATATTTTGATCTGTACTCCATGCTACTGTATTTCAGTTGAATTGTTTATATGTCATTGTTTATTTTTATGTTCTTGGTGCAATAAAGAGTTAAATATATAAATAAATGGAATGGTAACCCCGCTTGCGCTAACGGTATACACTGGCGGGGCACCAGTGAAGAATGATAGGTGGGAATGAAAAGGCAGGTCAGTAAGCCAATCGTGACGAATACACCTGGAATTCAGCACGACGGTTTCCAGGGGGACCACGTGGAGGTCGACCTGACAAGTTATATTGCCAGCAATGGGGCTGGTAGTCCGCATTACTACCAATTCCTCTCCCCCCCCCCCCCCCCTCTGACTCAGTAGGTTAGTGTTTCTAAACAAAATAACTGCATTATCAGCGAGCGAACAATGGCTATATTAAAAAAAAACCCGCAAAGCCAAACCAATTCGCTTGTTTATAAAATCAGCTGATGATATTTTAATGTAACTACAATAGATTCCCATCAGTGGCAGCCGATTGAAGCTGATACCGGCACGACGATTGACGTCAATTAACAACCAATCGAAGGCGTCGCCGTCGTAATATATCAATAATATACACGGGACATAGTAAATAATCTACATAGTAAATAATAGACATCTCTCGACCAATAAGTTTCCTTAACACGTTGAGCGCCATGTCAGCCATCGGTGGCTGACACTAGACTTTCCGTTTAGGCCGCGTCAGCCATCGGTGTCTGACAGCGTGTAACATGAGAACTATAAAATTTTACACTATTTTACGGAATTACAGAAAATTTATTTAAAATTTATAGGAATCACGTTCCAAACGTAAACTACCTTCTACTACGATAGGAAACACCAGCTCCTGCAGTACCAGCGCTTCGAAGCGGCGCGCGTGGGCTCAACGGGATTGCTGTAGAAATACGCGTGGCGCTCAACGTGTTAATCGTCTATTACAACATCCACGGGAAAGGAAGGGGTGGCCCATCCTATACCGGGACTACATGGCAACGATTTAACTTAAGAATTAATAATCTAATTACTAATAAATGTTTACATAAATATTTACATATTAACCGACTGCGAAGTATTCCGAATGTAAGGACAAATAGTTACATAAGTAAATAAATAAAAGTAGGTAAATATAAAAAAATCCGTAAACTATACGTGCACAGAGTCTGCTAAATCTTTCATGTCTAGATCTACATTTCGTTATAAAAAAATAAACTTTTACTTTTTATAATATATAATAGTATAAATTATGTATGGATACTTACGTTTGTGTTTTATGAATGTTTTTTTTTTTATAAAACTTAGAATGGCAAACAAACTGATGGCCCACCTGATGGAAAGTGGTAACCGTCACCTATAGACATGAGCAGTACCATGGACATAACAAAGTATACTGTTGCGCCCATGATACCCCCCATGCGTTGCCATTCCTGAGGACTCAGGTGTTGTTCCTCTATACCCTGTAAATTCACTGCCATATTCCACCCTTCAACCGAAACACAGCCATGCAAACATGAATGCTTCACGGTAGAAACACGAATGGGACAGAGGTACCCAAGCAATCGGCTTTTGTACAAAATCTCCCTCTGGTAATAATGGAATGGTAACCCGCCTGTGCTAATAAACACTGGCGGGGCACCAGTGAGGGATGATAGGGGAGGATGAAAATGATCAAGATCAGTTAGACCATCATGACGTATATATATTCACTTGGAATTCAGCACGATAGTTTCCAGGGAGGGGGCTACGTGGAGATCGACCCGAGTGCATTGCTAGCAATGTGACTGGTAGTTTGCATTACTAACAATCCCCCCCCCCCCTTGGGCGGTTGACGTAAAAGTTTTATGTAAATGTATGACAAATATGTATGTGTATGAAAATACTACTTAAAACTCGTAGAGATAATAAAGCAGGGCTAATTAGATATGCATTACTTAATACTGGCGTTATAAACTATTTCGTCATAGTCGTAGAATACTGACGGATCTGACAAATATTACACATATAGATCCGTCAGTATTCTACGACTATGACGATTTATAATTTTAAGCAATAACCCCGCCAGCGACATTGCTGTACGCTGGCAGAGCACCAGTGAAAGATGATAAGAGAGGACGAAGTCAGGTCAGTTGGCCCATCGTGATTAATTCACTATGAATAAATCACGATGGTTTCTGAGAACCGCGTGGTGGTCGACTTGACTGGGTGTCAGTTGCAATGGGGTCGCTAATTCCCCTTTATCAACATTCCCATAGAAATATAATAAAAATATATAAGTAAAAAAGCAAAAGACAAATGTGGCATCTATGTAGTAAAGGTGCGGTTCGACATCTGACGATGCAAAATAAATCAAATACAAATACGACAAAGTATAATCATTACGAAATTAAGAGCAAACTGAAATTTAAAATTGGAACGCCTCGACTTGTCTATGGTTTAACGATAGATAAACATTTAATCTGGCGCGATTATAATGTTTACGACTATCTTTCATTGTGTGCAATTAGCGTTTCGATAAAAGAAGTATGTCAAAATACAATTTTATAGATACAAATATTAATAACAATTAAGTCATGTGTTTGTAATCGTATCTCGCCCGATAATGTATTACAATATCAGTGATTGGAAATATAAGGCCACTTCGTAATCGATCAGTACGACATTGTTTCACTCGGCAAGCTTACACGATACTACCTTAACATTAAAAAAGTACTTGATTGATGTAGTCTGAGAAAAAAGTTGTAAATTACAGAGTGAAATATATATTTTTTTAATAATAAACGACGTCTGGTATAGACACGGTAAAGCTTTCAAACTAAAACAATACCATAATTACCGTACCTACAAAACAGGAAGTGACCTAAGGTGTATCAATTTGATTGAATTAAAAAAAAGAAATGTCAAACGTGTTCTTTTTATGAAATTAGTAACGTAACATAGAATAACACACGCTCGCCAGAGGTCCAACCGCCACCTTTATTCTACTGTGCATAACATGTATAAATTTACCTCATCCTGGCTCATAAACAACTGAAAAGAGAGAAGCACAGTTATAGGTTTATCAAGCATTAGTAGGTAATGTAAATAGCTAATTTATTATTAGTAGTTTCGGACTTCCCGCTTATTAGAATGAAAGATGTAATAAATATAATAAAATATGACGGGCGACTAAAATACTGAATATATTAAGGTTTATAGATAATTTATTTGCATGTCTAAGCACTAGGGATGGATAATATCTATATATTCTAGTTACAAAATCTATATACTGATCCAATAACGTCTTAAAAATCTGTTAAACAAAAAATAATATTGGATAACAGACTTTTAATATATTAAAAAAATTATATACGACCGATATAGGACTAACCTTTTCTCTACCATCAATATCCAGAACAAAATATACAGATATCGGATCGGCATCAAAATTACCCATGCCTACTAAGCACACAACACAACACCAATAAAAAAAAAAACAGATATTAATAGAATAATTCGTAGTATAAGATTAGGTCCTCTATCTATAAGGCTATCCTCACTACAGGAATAATTTGAGATTATGAACACAAACTTAATTTATTCTTCTTTTTCTTAATCGGTCGCCATTTTTGTGGTCATTTCTGCCATCGTATCATACAGCTCTTCAATTTAAACCAAATCATCGTTCCCGCCATATTTTAAAACTTTATTTACCACATATTAATCTACAAAACTGAAATTTTAATTCAAATCTATTGTAGTCTTTTTCGTCGCTCATTATATTTGTATAAGTAATTTATATTCAGCTGTCTAACATAAGCATCTCTCTTAGGGGGGTTTGCCAATAATTGCCGCGCTTGGCAAGCGAATTGACAAACGCAGTTAGGCTTTGGAGATATTTTAAGAGGGATGCGGCTGTCCATCTCTCGCCCTAAGTCGCAGCGGAAAGAAAGGATTGGCCTATTCTATGCCGGGGTCACACGGCAAATTGTATATAGCATTTGTATATTAACAAGGGCTCTCGCTGAACACTGCAACTAAATAAACAAATGGCCCAACTATACCCATAAACCTTTCGCAGATTTTGACACGATGAGGAAATGCGATAGCACATAAATTGTAGCTACAGCCCACTAATACAAAAAGGATATATCTCCTTTGGAAAACATACTAAAGTATGTTTTTGAATAGTTTGGTAAATCTTGAAGAGATAAAAAACATCGCTAGTAATGACTTCTTAAATTTCCCATCACCGACAGGAATTGGCAACGAACTTTAAAAAGGGCGAGCACAACAAATCACAGAGGTCGCAATGTTACGGGTTTTTCTGCCTGACAAAGCCTATTAATCAATAATAACTGTGGATACCAAATACCAAACATAAAGACGTAACTGCCGAAGTTTCTCAAGCTACGTCTCGCGAATACTCAGGTTGTCGAGTCATCTTCCTGCCGAGGCTTTCCCTAGGGACTACAGTATGGGGTTCTACAAAAATATTAAGATTTTTTATAGGTCGACAACGCGCACGTGACACCCCTAGTTTTGCAGACGTCCATAGACTACAGTAACCGTTTATAGTTACCGTATTTGCCACCTCCGTGTATAAATAAAAAAAAAAACAAACTCGGTAACAAAAATTCCAGTACGTTAGTTCAATGTTTTTGTTAACCTGTCATAACCTTTAAAATGTCATTAAAGGTGATTAGTAAAGTCATAAAAACATATTCTCTATTTCACTATACCTTAAAAAAAAATACAAACAAACAAATAATTGTCCCGACCATAAAACTGTCTGCTGATGTCCAACAGTAAAACAAATCAAAAATCAATTAATAACTGAACCTTTATATATGTACCGATTAGAGACACGTTGTTGATTCAGAGAATGTATCTGTGCATTGACGTATTTAGGGGTGCAGGTTAAAGGGGAGGGGGGATCCCAGAATTGGCTAATGCCCACTCCAGGATGCGAGCGAACTTTCACAAAAACGTATCTCAGTGTACATATGCGTCTTATTTAAGGGGCCAGGCCCAGATCCCACATAATAATCCTAAATAGGTACGCCAATGTTACTTTGATAATTTCAACTAACATTGGTCACCTAATTAAGTTTTCTTTATACCACTGAGGTGGTCAACAAGCATACGGCTCACCTGATGGGTAAGCAGTTACCGTAGCCTATGAACGCCAACAACACCAGGGACCAGGGCGCACGTTGCCGACCATGAAGAAATCTCTTTACCCCATTTTTTAAAAACCCCATGCTGTAGTCTCCTGGAAAAACCTCATCAGAGAGGTCATCGAGTTCTATTGAAACCGCTTATAAGACTGACTTCGTCGTCAAACCAAATAAGACGCTAAATGTGGAAAAATGTATCCAATGTACGTTACAAGAGTTCTTTGTACAAAATACACAAAAAACTGTATTACTTTTTAGGAATAAATTATTGAATCGCGTCTGTACGTGGTAGAATTATTTTTTATACGACTTAGAATTGCAAACAAGCTGACGGCCCACCTGACGAAGAGTGCCAACCGTCGTATATAGACATGAACAGCTCCATGTTTATCACAAACAAGACTTGGTTGTTATAAACGAGAATTTAGGCCCCCACGGACAACAATCCTTTGTCTGCACAGGTTCTATATGCAAGGTAACTCTAATGGTAGGTATCTAGGCAGCTGACTATAAATCTTATATTAAATTAAGATTAATTATCGTCATTCCAATAAAGGGGAAAGTATGTCTAACCACACTATAATTACACCAAACATGCAAACACGTCCAACGCACACTTCGTTAAATACTCAAACCAATATACTAACATTCAACCAACGTTCTTTTGTAAATAGTCAAACAAATGGGGTCGATTCTGAAGCCCCATTTTCTATCTTTAAAATGTAAACCTATAATTTAAGTTTGATGTTAAACCAAGGATCTATATAGTTTAATAAATTCGAATCTGAACCAACTTATTTTACGTCCATAATGTAATATTATGATTCTAAATTCAAATTTTTACGTAAAATTTTAATTGTTAATTCGTCATAGTCGTAGAATACTGACGGATCTGTAACAAATATTACATATAAAGATCCGTCAGTATTCTACAACTATGACGAATTTTAGAGATAGCTTTAAAGATTTATACTTCAAAATCAATCGCATTTTAACACTATACTAATTACATCAGGTTAACTTAATATAACATAATTGAGATCAAATCGAAATCACAGAATAGACGTCATTGCATCTACGTTCCACGTAAGTATATTAGATGTCACTTCACGTACGTCAAATTGGCGGCAATTTCGTGCCGTTGTACGTACGTCCATTTGCCGTCTATTCATTTTATTTTCGATGTAATATCAATTAGACACCCGTGTAGAGGGAGTCTTACAATATATGTATATATAAAGTATTCAATATATATGGTACTCTATATAGTTAATAAAATTAAGTAACTTTTCAAAATTTTTGTTATATAGAATATGTAATGTATTAATTAAAAAAAAAAAAACTAGATCATTATTAGTGATTAAGTATTAACATAGTATACTTACTAACAAAAATGGATCCAAGTTATCTAAATAAATAAATAAATAAAAAATAAATAAATATCATTAAATTTCATACAATGCTTATAATACAATATATAAATTATAAAGGAAGTGCGTCATAGTTATGCAAGATCATACGCATATATACCTACTACTTTACAACATAGTAGTGCTTCCACAGAGAGTTAATATTTTGTAACACGTTTTCTAGTGTACAAAAATAAAATATTAATGGTACACATAGCATGGGGTTTATTATCACCTTTTACAAACATGAATTGATAACTTAAGGTCAATAAACCTTAGTTATCATATCCAAATATTTGATTTATTGACTTAAAAAAAATATGTATAGGTAGATAGTTGATTGAAAATGTAACCATGTATTTACTTGTATGGTTATAGATCAGAATGAATGAATGTTGCATTTCTTTAGTAAATCTATGTATATTCATTGTGGATTGTTCATTATCTATTTATAAATTAGTCCTTTGTTTATTTTTAAAATAATAAAATTGCTGTTAAGTATTCTATAATATTTGATATTTATAATTAATTAATAATTAATATTGTTAGCAATTAATTTGTTGGTATTAAGTATACATTTATTATAAAAATAGCAATTATTATAATACCATATACTCTCTGAAATAAGGCACAATAAACTTGTAAATTAAATAACATATTTTTAATACAGGCTACTTTTAATAGATTGACAGTACAAATGTATATTTATTTAATACACATTTATTTATTTTGACTAAGCTTGAATTTTGACTAGCTGTTTGATATTTGTAATGCCATATTGTATGTATATAAAATATGAAAAAAGTGCAAAATTTTTTAATCATTAATTATTTTTTTTTTGCCAATAAAATTTATAAAATATATCTTTAACAACTAAACATTTAATTGAGAAAATATAAAATTTTTAACTAAGTACAAAATTTTTTTTTACTCTGTAAAAAGATATTCATTATGTTTTACTAATAAATAAAAATATAAAGTTATTTAAACATACCTGTTTATGCTTAATCTTTGATGATTTCTGGTAGGCGACTTCTAATTTAGGATTGTAGGGGACTTTCTTTGGTCTTGTGTTCTTAATACCTAATGACTTGCCAAATGGTGCAAACCAATATCTGAAACAAAATATAATTTAATGTTATTCAATTTTATTAAACATACATGATAAAGTACAATAAAGTATTTATTTATACTTTATTGTACTCAAAGATTACAAAGTTTTAATTTATTTCAATAAAATGTACAATAAGCGAATTACTGTAAAGTTCTCTTCCAGTAAACCCAGAGTGGAAAGGAGCATTAATTACCAGCAGGCAGCATGCATACAAAAAAAAAAGAGGAAACAGTAATATTGGTAGTAAGGGGAGAAAGGGCTTGTTAGTAATGTGGTCAGTATGAGGGTCTGGTATACACTGCCGGAGCACCAGTGAAGGGTGATAGATGAGAATGAAAACAGGCCAGTTAGCCCATCATGATGAATTCATTAGGAATTAACCATGATAGTTTCCAGGGAAAACCGCGAGGAGGTCGACCAGGTTGGGTATATTGCTAGCAATGGGATTCTCAGTCTCCATTACTAACAATCCCTTTTCCCCCCACTCCTCATTATTGCAATGTTAGAAAAAGCACAATAAACTAATAAAATAAAACTGAAAATTAATACAACACAGAAGCAAATAATATATAACTGGGCCAGTGTATTAATATTTGATAAATCATGGCAAAATAGTATAAAATAAAATAGTAAAAAAGTCAAAAAATTTTTTTCATTAAAACACACTACATAAATATGTATATATATGAAATAAATATACTTTCAAAACATATTTTGTACTGTATAGCATTTTTTTTAATGGGTGATAATGGAATGGTAACCCTACCAGCGCTATCGGTATACACTGGCGGGCCACCAGTTAAGGATGATAGGTGAGGATAATGCAGGTCAGTTAGCCCATCATGATGAATTCAACAAAAATTGTTCACAATGGTTTCCAGGGGGAACCATGTAGAGGTCGACCTAATAGGGCATATTGTTAGCAATGAGGCTGTCAAACTCCATTGCTAACAATCCCTTTCCCCCCACTGTATAGCATTAAGCCTTTTGTACATTTTTTTTTTTTGTAAGATGACCAATAAAGAGTAAATAAGTAAATTACACTGCCCTAAGTAATTGGGGTAAGGGCACAAAGATGATGATGATAAACTTTTAAAATAAAAATGATTGACTAAGTCATTAAAATAATTGAAAAGCATTCATTATTTATATATTTCTTTTTTTTTTTTTTGTTTAAATTTGTTACTTGTTATATATCCCAACTTCTATTGTTTGTAAGCATTTAAAATATACAATTTAAAAAAATTTAAAGCATGAAAACAAACAATTAAATACAACATTATTTATATTAATTATCTTTTTATATTTAAAATAAATTAACCATGTTTTTATAAGACATATACAAGAACTCAGTGGTTACTAAACAATACATGAATTTCACAAGTACGTTAGTCTGTTAATTAGTACTCTTTGAACATAAATGTTCCCAATTAGCGCGTTCTAAGACGCTTTGGCGTATTTAAAGTTGTTACAGGATTTTGTTACTTAAAGACGAAAAATAAAAAATTACAATAAAAATATTTAAAAATTATGTAGGCATATAAATTACTATTAAATAAAACAAAAATACCGCTTTTCCATAAATCGAACACAATCATTAAGTGAAACGTTAGAAAACGGCATACTTGTGAATTCTAGCAAAAACTTACTTCTCTAACATATGCCTGATGGCTATAATCACGAAGGCCAGTGGTATAGGGTACAGGAGGTGCCTGTGATCTGTGTAAACCACATCTTTATCAGATCCTGGTGTAATATCTTCCCAAGTCGTATTCGGTGGTAACCACACAGCCTCATTCCAAAACGCATCCAATAAAGATCGAAACATTTTCAAACAATTTATTTAAAACGCGCGGTTTCTATAACAACACTTGAACCTCTGAATTATCAAATAAACCTGTTATCACTCGATAAACACACCCAAAAAATAACGGCGAAATCAGCCGTTCCGAAACCCGACATATCACGATTTGACACAATTTCGTTTCATTTTTTTTTTTTTAGTACGTTTGTTCCGTTTGGAACAGGCTAAGGTCGGAGACCATGCTGCCTAGTCTTCAAAAAGATAATTTGTCTGGAATTTTATTTTTCTAATGTCGCTTCAATTATTGTCATAATCTTCAATATTTCATTTGTCAAATCCGGTAAGTACATTTTCATAAATATCTTTTCTTGAGTTTTCTTAAACCAGTGGATTTATCAAATTAAAAATAAATAATTATAAAAAATCATTGTCTTGCAATTCAATAAAAGTATTCTTATAGCTCCTTGAATGTTGTAGTAATATAAGTGAAAATAGCTTTGAAACAAGAAGGAAATCTTAAGAGAAGCGGGATTGAGTGCGGGATATTTTCGGGTTTTTTGAAGATAATCCTAAGTTCGTCAAACATAATGTGTCTTTGAATGACAAATTCAGAGCAATCAAAAAAAGGTGATGTAGAGATTGGGCTGTATTTGAGTTACACCATGTGCATGATGGGGAAGCGATCATGCCCATTCGGTGCAGGTGTTCGTTGAAATGTCCGTGGCCGATTCGTAATCTACAAATATTGGTGTAAAATTTTCTGTTTGTGTCCTTTCCTTTGCAGAACCACGGTTTTCCAATACGCCAATTAATTTTGCGGTACCATTTGCCTTTAGTCTGTAATATTTGAGTCCAATGCTCCTCCCATTTAGTTGTAACGATTTTATGTATTCCAATACTACAATCTGAATAACAAAGGGGTAAATCTTGAACACGAGCAGCACTTGAATTAATAATTTTAGCCAAAGTGTCTACTTGTTCATTCCCAAACACTCCAATATGTGAAGGGGTCCAGATGAAGATAATATCTTTTCCATATATAGTACAGAGATGATAATATTTATTACGAATTTCTTGAATTAAGTAGTTTGATGATGAAATGAATGTGTTATTTTTTAATGCCATAAGAACACTCATACTATCTGTAATTATAATCCATTTCGAATATAGTACCTGTTTTTCTATGTATTCTAATGCTAAAAATATAGCTTTTGCTTCTGCTGTGTAAATACTAGCCAAAGTTGAAATTTTATAACCGTGACCAAATCTATTTGACAAATCGTAAAAAGCCACTGAAGTGCTAAGTGCATTTTTGGAACCATCTGTATATATCTGCCTGTAGTCAATAAATTCTGATAAAGTCTCATACATATCGTGCTTTTCTTTTATGTCTTTACGTATAACAATTTTGATCTTACAGAACTTACTCTCATAAAGGCCATTATAACAAGGAAGTATCTTACTACTATAGATGTTATATTCATCTCGTAAATTCAAATCATTGACAATAGTTTTATTCAAAAACATAGAAATGGGGCAATTTAATAATTTGAGTATGAGTGGGTTATTGGAAACTGAAAAAACTTTGAAGAGAAATTTGAGTTTTAGGTATTCGAAACGAAGAAGGATAGGAGGCAAATTACATTCTACTTGCATTGAGATAATTGGAGAAGTATACATAGCACCTAAAATAAGTCTTAAATTCATATTTTGAATTTTTTCGAGTTTTTCTACTAATTTATGTTCTGAGGCATAACAAAAGAAAGCGTAATCAAAATTACTTCTAACAAGAGATTTGTAAAGTAAAAGGATAATTTTAGGATCAGCTCCCCAGTTACGACCAATTACAGATCTTATTATATTAGTGGCTCTTAAAGCACGATCTACTAAGCAATCAACGTATAGATCCCATTTTAAATTTTGATGAAAAATTACCCCCAGAAATTTAACGCTACAGTCTGTTGGAAGAGTTTGATTATTATATATAATATTCATTAATGGAACATATTTATGAACTTGATGAAAAACAACTACTTTACTTTTGGTTAAACTAATATCGAGGGAAAGAAGAGAAAAATATTTCTCAAGTCTTTTTAATGACTCATTTAACACTAATTGCATATCAATAATATTCTTTCCTTTTATATAAATTAATAAATCATCGGCAAATTGCAAGTTGTTCACACTGTTTCCTAAAATTGAATTAAGTATATAGATATATAAAATATATAGTAGCGGGCTTAGAATACCACCTTGACATACTCCTTTAGAGCTTAACCTAGGTCCTATTAATTTACTATTTACTTTAACATACACTTCTCTATTACTAAGAAAATTATAAATCCATTCGATAAGTTTCATTGGAAGAAATGAGGATAAAATCGAAGATAGAACTGTTAAATTTACATTGTTAAAAGCTCCTACGACATCTAAAAAAACAGATAGAACATATTCATCGTTATTCAAAGCAGTACTAAGGTCGACATAGAAGTTCGCTAAACTTTCGCGCGCTGAATATCCACGGCGAAAACCAAATTGATTCGATGGTAATATACTATTACTTTCAATAAAGAACTCTAAACGCTGTTTAATTAATTGTTCGAATAATTTGCCTGCACAGGACGTCAATGTTATAGGTCTATAGGAGTCGAAATTTGTAGGATCTTTACCGGGTTTAATTACTGGAATCAAACAATCCATTTTCCATTCTGGTGGGATAATACAGTCCTTCCATAAATCGTTAAAAATTTGTAAGAGTTTAGTAAGGTTTATTTTATTCAGCAATCGAAACATATTGTATGTTAAGCGATCAAGGCCACTAGCTGTATCTTTTCTAGATTTTACTGCACTGGATATTTCATCAATTGAGAATGGGTCAGTGAGAAATTTTGGGCATGAATTAACAGAATTAAACTGTTTGTCATCAAAAGGTGAGTGTACAAAATCAGGAGTATATTTGCGTAAAAAATCATTGACCCATGATATATCTTTAAAATGATTTTGACGATGTTTTGAATTTAGTTTTCTCATATTTTGCCAAACAGTGGAAATTGGTGTTAATCTATTAAATTTGGAACAAAATTCCTGCCACCCCTGTTGTCTTACTTGCTTAATTACTAACTTTTTAACAGCTTGAACTCTTTTAAAATTTATGTAATTATCGAGAGTTGGATTTTGTTTAAACCTAAGGTAAGCCGCTTTACTATCATTGACAGCTGTCGCACACCTGTTATTCCACCAAGGTACTGCAATATGTTTGTGCCTCTTTGAAGTATTTGCACCGCTATTTGATAAGTTTCCTACATGGAACGGAACGTTCCACAGCTGTCAAAATAATTTTACAGAACCTATTGTAATTGTTTAAGGGTTCATTGACATCATACTCGAAATCCAAAAGTAATCGATTAACAGTTTCAGAATAAAGATCCCAATTAACGAGACGTAGGTTTATACGATTTAACAAAAGTTTATTAACTTCATCTATAGGAGCATGTTGTTCACCTGACGGAGTTGATGAAGAGTTCTTTGTGTTTATTTTAGTAAAAGTCGGCAGGTGATAACTTCCTAACGGATCATCATGAACCGACCACTCGCATTTTAATGATATGGATGGGGATACCATAGTTAAATCAAGGCCATTGGGTCTCCAAATATGAGAGCCAACAGTAGTAACTTGCTTATCATTTAATAATACCAAATTACATTCATCTAAACAATCAAGAATGTCTTTACCTCTTGTATTAGTGGAGGTACAACCCCACATAGTATGATGTGCATTTAAATCTCCAGATATGATAGTGGGTTTAGGAAGAGACTCCAAAAAGAACTTAAATTTGGCTTTAGTAAAACTAGGTGTACTATTGGTAGGACAGTAAATACTGGCAACTGAATACCAAGAATTATTAACTTCAATACTAATAGCTATAGTTTGCAAAGAATTGTCGAAAAAAGAGTGAAGTTTTTTATATCTAATACTATTATGTATAATAATCGCTACTCCATTGTGGTTATTACCACAATCATTTCGTTCTATACAATAATCTTTAATTTTTAATTTGTAATGTGGTTTTAGCCAAGTTTCTGAGATGAGAGCAATGTGAATATGATGTTCATTTAAAAATTGTGTAAAAATATGTCGATTGCTCAGTAGGCTCTGAGCGTTCCACTGTATGATAGTTAATTGGTCTCGATTGAATTTTGTGAAATAGGTCTATTACCAAAAGTATCATATAACACATTCAAAACACTTTTAGTGTTAATAGATGTGTTCTTTGTGTTATGTAGTGAAATAAGTTTGATTATGCTTTCTATTAAAAGTGATAAACTCTTGTTATCAGAATTTAGAATTGAAATTAGGTCTACATTTTTTTTAGGTTTGTTACCCAGTTTAGGAAATATTTCAGTGCTAAGTATATCTCCAAAAGAAGCAGGTCTGAATTTAGATCTATTTTCAGCAATTTTCTTTTGTTTAACAGGGCATTGCGGTGATACACTTGTGTGATTTCCATTGCAGTGTACACAAATAGCGTTTTCCATTCCAGTTGTACAAGTTTTATAATTATGCTCACCTTTGCAGATGCTGCAACGCTCAGAATTCTTACAGAATTTAGCTAAATGTCCATACCTCAAGCACCGGTAGCATTGTTTAACTGGTGGTATATATGGAGTGACATTGTGGCGCCAACCTCCAATATCCAGATATTCAGGTAATACAGATGCAGCAAAAGTAATTGTCACGGTTAGAGTTGGCTGTAACACATATCCATGAGTCAAGGTATTTTTTCTTAAAATTCTTTTAATAGCAATAATTTTCTTAGAACTCGATATCATAGTATATATTTTTTTATTAGATATATTTGTAGGTACATTTCTAATAACGCCTGTAACTTCTGTTGAAGAAGCAGGAATACTGGCCTTAAAATGGTAGTCATTTAAAAAAGTTTTATTATTTAAAAAAGCATTGGCTAAGTCTGGCTTTTGAAAGTATACTCCGATTTTGAATTTATTTATAGATCTAAGATAAGTTACCCCTTTATTAAATCGTTTTAAACAGGAGGAGAGTGAGAGCAAGTCTCTGGATCCAATGGTTTTCTGACTATCTGAGGATTCTACAAAGACAACAAATTCTGTCCCAGGGGATTCCTCGGGATATCTTCTAATATAATCTGTGACGTAGTAA